TATTATTATTATTATTATTATTATTATTATTATTATTATTATTATTATTATTATTATTATTATTATTATTATTATGTTTTCATGTTTATATAAATATATTTTATTACGTATTTGGCACTTGATGATTTTGAAAAATCTAATAATCTTTCCAAGCAAAAAATTGGGTTCGAAGCATTGAATCGAACTTTAAACCTATCCAAAAAATGGTGGATGGCATTTAAGATTTCGAACAAGCAAAAAAAAAACTTTCAAAACTTGAAGTGATCGTAACAAAAACACATTTACTGGTAGCATTTAAAGTTTTATACATTAAAAAAAAATTGAATTTTAATATAAATGCATTTAAATGTTTGAATTGAATGTAATTCGGCTTAAAGTTTGCAGTGAAAATTAAGTAAATTCCAATAACAATAAATAATCTGAATAATAAAAAAAAAAAAGCTTCAATTATTTTATACATATTGTATTGATTAAAATTAAAATTCATATGCTAATTACAAGCAAAAAAAAAAAACACCGTGAAATTCAGTAACTTTGAATGTATTATTTTTTGACAAAAATCGAATATACTCTTTCTAAGAAAGTAACATTTCTTTGCATGTATATTCTTTGTAGTTCATATACTGTATAATATTACAAATAATTTGTTGCATTTCAATGCCTGGTGTATCAACAATATAAAAAAGAGAATTTGATTGAGGTTAATCAATAACCGCTTAGCACAAATTCTATGTGACATAAGCTATCACGAATTTTTATAGTGATCGAGGTTAGTGCTTTATATATAGGGGCCTGGAAAAAACCCGGGTAATATAGTGGCCAAGGTCTGCGCTTTATATGTAGACTGTATCTGTTTTGAACTAATATTATTAAAGATCTCTTCAAAAAAAAAAAAAAAAAAAGCTATAATTACAATAATTGATATAAATATAAGCTAACACAACATATTTTTTGGAATATTTCATTGTGCTATAATTTCAATAATTGTTATAAATATAAACTAATCATCTTTTTTGAATATTTCTTTAATAAATCCTGTTTCGTCCCATTCGACTATAAGTAGAGGATCCCCAAAATAGGTCGCATTATCATCATCATCATTAAATCTTTGCTATTCGAATAACTATTGTCAGGCTGGAAAGTGGGATATCCGGACAAGCATATCGAAAGAGACGTTTAGATTTGGCGAGTGGATGGTTCTAAAGCTTCACCTGTCTCTTTGAATAAGTCACAACGTAACGATTCAGATAGATGATCGAAGATCCACTTTAATTAAGGATCTGGGTTTGTCGATTGAATGATGTTTTTCAATGGACAAGTTGGCCTTTATTTTAGAAATATTACATGAAATTAAATAAATGAAATAAAACAAATTTATCGAATTTAGCCAATTTAATCAAATTTATCAAATTAATCAAAATAAATCAATCAAAATTAATTTATTAGTCATGAGAAAATACAAGGAACTGCAACTTATGAACCAACAAGATATACCAAAGGTCAGAGGCGGTATTGATTTGGTAAGATAAGGCTAAATCGGGTATATTGTGGGATTCAAAAAATCAACTCAATTACGTTTTTTATTTAAAACATTCACTTGTTGTCCTTTATTAGAGGGCGAAAAGAGCCCATATTTATAACAAAATCAAAATTTTTTTCTAAGCTAAGCTTTTGGCACTGCCCCAAACCTAAATCGGGTTATGCCGCCATAATTCGGATTCTTCTTTCATCGTGGCTTGTGGCTTCTCGAGATCGATTTCTTTTCGATTTCGTGACAGGTTCTTTGGTGCATCGAATCGTCACGTTTTCGGGTCTCGTGACGTCGACTTCGTCGCAGCAGATTTCGGCGGTTTTCCTGCTAACACTACCTAAAAAAAAATTTAAAATTTTCTAATGTTTACTTGTTAGAAAATTTTTAGTATAAGAGTATTAATAAAAATAATATGTTAATGTTGATAATTACTTTTTCGATCTCTAGAAATCGCATCCAGTAAAGTGTTTAGCGTATCCAAGTAAGATGCTTAAGAACACCATTGGTAACCGAATTTTAGAGTAATTTCATAAATTCACCATGATGAATAATAAAAATAAACGTCATTTATGCTCAGATTAAAGTTGTTCTTTAGCATCGCTCTCTACGTAATTGCCAAGTGAATTTTTATTACAACTAATCAAAGTTATGAAGCTAATTATTATTACAGCACACAATGACTAATAATTGTAATCATGACTGATCACATATTATAAATTTAACGGTTTATCTAAGTAATTGATAAAAAAATATAACAACTTAATTATACTTAACGATTACTATTTCATGTGATCAACCAAATCAATCAACCAAATCACGGGAAATGTTGTAATACTAGAGTACAGTATTCGGAAAAAGCCATGGTTACAAAACTTTATTTATATATACAGTATGTAGATTCACATCATCGGTACATATTTCAAAACTTTGCATAAAACGATTTTACTACGTTATGATTTATGATCCGAATACGCTTTCCAATATTGATGAGGTTAAGACTACCCATCTTGACTTAAATTTTATTGTTGATTTTGAACGTAAAATTCTTGATGCAGTTGTCATTCTTAAACTTGTTACACTTGTCGATAATGTCAACAAAGTTATACTTGATACTAGTCATCTAAACATTAAATCCGCTTCTTGTTCCGGTGTACAATTGAAAGTATGTTTAATATTATTCTAATGAAAATATTGGAATTTTAGCTATTAAAATCTTATTATCTTTTATTTTTTTAAGCATCATTTGGAAGATAGAAATGAAAAATTCGGTTCCGCTTTACATATTCAATTAGATAAAAATTTATCGGCTAATACCGAATTCGATTTAACTGTTAATTACAACACTTTGGAACAAGGAACTGCTGTCCAATGGCTAGAACCTATGTATTTTGTCTTTTCAATAGTTCATTAGTTTTTTTAAAAAATCTATTTTTTTAATGAATTTAAGAATCTATGATTTTATAGTCAAACCTCCGGAAAGAAATATCCCTATTTGTTTACTCAATGTCAAGCCGTAAATTTTCAATGTTTTATAACTAACTATATTCTTATCGTATCATTTTTCATTTTTAAATATTAATCTTTAACATTATTTTAATAGATTCATGCTCGATCTCTTTTACCATGTCAAGATACTCCTTCATTTAAATTATCTTACAATGCTAGTGTTCAAGTTCCACAACCTCTACGTGCTTTGATGAGTGCTATTGAAGTTTGTGAGGAAGTAAATGTAGAGACTAATACCAAGACTTATAAATTTGAACAAACCGTTAAAATTCCATCATATTTAATTGCTTTGGCAGTTGGAAATTTGGAGGGAAAGAAAATTGGTCCTAGATCAACTGTATGGTCTGAACCTGAAGTAGTTGAAAGTGCTGCTTGGGAATTTGTTGATACTGAAAAATTTATTGAAACTGGGGAAAATCTTCTTACTCCTTATGAATGGAAAAAATACGACCTTTTGGTTCTTCCTGCATCGTTTCCCTAGTAAATTATTTCTTCTTACTACTTTTTAATTTCTTCCATCTTCTTTTTTGCTAAATATATCTTTTTTTTTTTTTTTTTTTGTAGTGGAGGAATGGAAAATCCTTGTCTAACTTTTGTTACTCCTACATTATTGGCTGGTGATAGATCACTTGTAGATGTTGTAGCTCATGAAATTTCTCATAGTTGGATGGGAAATCTTGTTACAACCTCGAATTGGGTATGATATTAATGTATAATAAGGTTAATTTTTGATGTTTTTATATATTTTTTAATATATTTTAATATATTGAATAACATACTTTAGGAACATTTTTGGCTTAACGAAGGCTGGACTGTATTCATTGAACGAAAGATTATGGGTAAATTTATTATTTGTAAAATCGTTATTATAAAATAATTATTAACAAATAATTTAAAAAAAACTAGGTCGTTTGCATGGTGAAAAAGCAAGCGAATTTGATGCAATTATTGGATGGAGAGCGTTGAAACAAGATATTGACCTTTTTGGTCAAAGTAATGTTTTGACAGCATTAACTCCTAAATTGAAAGGTGTAGATCCTGATGATAGCTTTTCTTCGGTTCCATATGGTACGGTTTACAAATTTTCATTTTACATTCTATACCTTAAATTTGAACGTTTTTATATAATAACAAGATCTTGACATTAAATGAAATTATAGAAAAAGGTTTCAATTTTCTTTATCACATCCAAAAGGTCGTTGGTGGACCTCAGAATTTTGAACCTTATATGAAAGCTCATGTTCAAGAATTTGCCGGTAAATCAATTACTACTGATGATTGGAAGAAATTTTTATACTCATTCGCGGATAAGAACTTTCCTGAAAAAAGAGCTAAATTGGATGAGATTCAATGGGATGCTTGGTTACATGCCCCTGGAATGGTATTTAATTTTTTTTTTTATACTTACTAATTTTTATTAAAATATTATTCATATTTATCTTATTTTTCATTTTAGCCTCCAGTAGAAAACGAATTTGATCAAACACTTGCAAAAGCGTGCTCTGAATTGGCTGAAAGGTTCGTTATTTGATTGAAATTATTTGATTGAAATTATTTGATTAAAATTTTATATAACTATTTGTAATATTATTATTTATTTACATATATATATATATTTATCTTATAGATGGAATCGTGCCCGAGATAATAAAGTTTTTGATGAATTTTCACCTTCTGATATTGAAAATTTTTCTCCTGAGCAAAAAAGTAATTAATCAATTTTGATATGTTAAAAAAAAGTAACATTGCTTGATTAATGTTTCATGTTCAAATTCTATAGTGGTTTTTTTGGAAATTATCTTTGATTATTCACCTCTACCGTGCCCAGTTATTGAAGCATTAAATAAATTTTATTGTTTCATGGATGTTCGTAATGCTGAAATTCGATTTAGTATGTTTATATTTGTATATTTTGAATTTTAAAAAGTTTTCAAAAAAAAAAAAAAAATGTTAACAATTTATTCATAATAGGATGGCAACAGGTTTGTTTAAAATCGGAATATGAACCTATTTTCCCTCACGTGGTCAAATTTGTAACAGAGCAGGGTAGAATGAAATATGTCAGACCTTTGTATAGGTAAGGTTTAAACGTAAACAATTAAATATGGTATTTATTCTTTTTTTATTAAATTCAATTCATTTTTAGATTATTGAATCAAACAAAGAATGGTTCTGATTTGGCAAAGAAAACTTTTGAAGAAAATAGGTCATTTTATCATCCTATTGCGGCAGCAATGATAGCAAAGGACATTTTAAAGGAATGTTAAATGATGTACAATGAAGAATCTTGGTTCTTGAATGTATCTTTTCATTTATTTTATGATCTATTGTATTTATAAAGTATTTAAATAAATATTGCACTAAATTTTCATAGTAAATAATATAAGTCAAATAAGAATCAAATAAATTGGATTAAATCTTTTAGTGTTATAATGTATTCTAAAATAACAAGTTGACCTTATGTTAAATAGTCTAATCGTAAAATTTTTTTTGCAATTAATCTCAAAATATCGATTTGGATGCTTCCAGTAATAATGCCTATGAGCATTATTTCGAAAAATTGTTGATATTTTTTCATAATATCTTTTATAAGGATTATATCTAAATAATGCTACATGTATCGAGATCTGTATTGATAAGTTTAGATCAGTGTTGTACATGAACACTTTTTGGACACTTTTGGACATTTTTTCGAATTAAAATTACATAAAATTTTATCAAGATAATTCATTTTAATTTTTTCAAAAATGACTCTAGAACCTTAAAAAACATATAATTATATAATATTTAAATTATTCCATTAATTATTTAGACTTGAAACATATGCTTGGACAGTTTTTGGACAATTTCTATACTAAAATGTCCAAAACTGTCCAAGCCTATGTTCCAATTTTAAATAATTAATAGATTAATTGAAAAATTATATAATTATATATTTTTTTAGATGCCAGATTCACTTTCAAAAAAATTAAAATGGATCATCTCAATAAAATTTTATTAATTTTAATTCGAAAAAATGTCCAAAAATGTCCAAAATATGTCTATGTACAACACTGGTTTAGATAATATATTAGTAAGTCTACATGTAAAGCAAGTATAATATAAATTTCTTAAAATCTATTATATTGCAGAAATTATTAAACAATTTCATTTTATAATAATCTATAAAATGGATCTTCAGTTCTTCTATTACTTAATTGTTGAATTATATATTCTATTATTTTTATTTTTGTAATTGTGTATTATGTCTTCTATTTCTTTTTGTAATTTTTGGGAATTCTTTAATTTATATTCTATTATACTAATTCCTTGCTACAGTTTGCAGTAATATTGTTCAAAAAAAAAGAGGGCTATGCTTTTTTAAATTAACTTAAAATCTTAATTTTTATGTGGTTTCATTTCTATTTCCATGTTTAAAAAATTACAAAGCAAACAAAAAAAAAAAAGTAGAATTAATTCTTAGAAAAAGAATAATTTTTTTATTAAACTAAGTTTGAGTTGAAAAATGCATGTTATTTTGGAATATGCATGAGTGCGATTTCAGAATCAAGCATGCTATTTTCAAGTGATAGGACTAGGAGAAAGTAAAAAAGTAAATAGAGATAGAGAATTATGTAAAATAGAAGAATATATAGCAGTATAAGAAGTACTTAAGAAATAATTTTTTTTTTTATATTTACATAGTGGTCTTGCCAAATTTTATTAAGTGAAAATTGTTATATCTGCAAATGCTTAACTATTTTTTGGTATATATACCTTACAATTAAAATACAACTTGTCTAGTTACCTAAATGCAACCTGCTAAAGTAGATTTAGCTGTCTAAAATCTACAGCTTATCAAGACCACCTCATTTCTTTAAGATCTTTCCTATCTAGCTTCAATAGTAGGACTATTAAGTTATAACTAACTGAAAAAAATAAAACAAAAAACATATAAAAGAAAGAAGATAGCTAGATACAAAGAAAAGAGTATTATAACAAAAAGATGAAATATATCAAACCTAAATAAAGAAAATATACAAAATAATAAAAGATAAAAAAGATAAAAAAATAAATATGGTCCTAATATACTACTAAGAAAAATGCATTATTATAACCTATACAAGGCTAAAAAATTATATATTAACTATAGCAATTTAATATATCTCTATTGTAAAGCTATGCCTTAATATTTAATTTGTTTTTCTTACTATTAGACTGATTTCAGATAACTTGTTTAGATGAAGGCCCATTCTGTTATATAGCATAGTAACATGTCTACTAAAAATATGTAGTTGTATTTTACTGCATCATTATTTGAAAAAAGAAGAAATAAACAATACTGCTCTTCTGACAGAGTAAGCTATTTTATCCACTTTTTTCAAAAATTTTGATGGAAATACAAATAAGTAATAGTGAGAAAAATAGACCTTGTTTTCTTCTTAAAAGAAAGTTTATTTTTTTGTAAAAATAACAAAAGATATAGGGATATGTATTTTTAATCAGTAGGTGATAAACTCTAAACTTGTTAGCAGTTAGTATATAAGAACTATCTCTAAATAACAAGTGCTAATTCCATGGTGAGTAATAAACTCTAAGCCTCTTTGCTAAAAATTGAAAAATTGAAAATTGTAATAATTTGCCTATAATTAGCATAATAAAACACTTTATTAGTATTTTATTAGTAGTAAAACTAAATTATTACATTATTAGTAAATTATTAGCAATTTATTAGCAATTATAAAGGCCTAAAAAATTACTAATATTTAGCTTTATAAAACCAATTATTTAGCTTTTATAATTTTTTTTATATGCAAATATTTAACAATTAAAGTGTTTATTAAACACTTTATAAATCTTTATAAAATTGCTAACAAATTAAAATAGCAAAATTTTAGCTTTTTAAAATCTATAAATTAAGTAATAAATTATATTATATTATAAGTTAAAATAGTATTATATTGCTAATTTAGTGTTTTAAAAGCTTTTAAATTATTTAAAATTTAAAATTTTAGCTAAAATTTAGCTTTTAAAAACTATAAATTAAATATTAAATTATGTAATTTTATTATATAATATAGTAATTATTTTACTAAACAATATAATATATTTGTACAAATTAATACTTATAGATACTATTTGAGAAAGAGCTATTACATATTGGCCAATTTTAACAATTACTATTAAAAATTTAAAATCTTAGATAGTGAATAACTTTTGATTTACTGATTAGTTTTTAACAATTTTACTACCAAATTGATTATCTCAGTGAGACAATTTTAACAAATCCAAAATTATCAAAATTCAATTATGAAATCTCAATATTTAAGTTTTGTTTATATTAAACAAAATAAGATTTGTTTTTTTACTTTATTCAAGCTTTAGTAATCTTAAAATCAATAATCTTAAAATTAGCTAAAATTACAAAAAAATTTCTTTACAAACCATTAATTATCTTGCAAACTATTAATCAAATTCATATAATTTGAATACTTTTGATTTGTCGTAATAAGATCTATTAGACTATATTTAACTAGCTTTAATTATCTTATAATTTAATTATGTGGTATTTAACTTTATATTAATTATACATTTTTTATATATACTTTAACTAATAATATATAATTTTTCTGATTATTATTAACTTATTATTCAATTAATGATATTACAAGATCATAATTTATATATAAAACTAATTTTTATATTATTTTATTTATTATAACAGTATTTTTTATTTATTTATTTTATTTATTTATTTGTTATCTCTTTTGACACCAAATTCATATATTGAAACATTTAAATTCGTACATTGGAACATACATCGGGACATTTAAATTCGTACATTGGGACTTTCAAATTCATACAAAAGGACAATTTAATTCAGATTAATAAAAGTGCAATAACTCGTGATATAGTAATCCAAATTTGATTATTTTAGTACCATTCGAATCCTCTCACTGAGGCGATTCTAATGGTACTAAAATCATCACAATTGGATTACTAGATTATGAGTTATTGCACTTTTATTAATCTGAATTAAATTGTCCTTTTGTACAAATTTGAAAGTCCCAATGTATGAATTTAAATGTCCCGATATATGAATTTAAATGTCCCAATGTATGAATTTAAATGTTCCAATGTACGAATTTGGTGTTAAAAGGGATATTTAATTTGTTTCATAATTGAAATTCTTCTCTACTATTATTTTTCACACAATATATTTCAAGTTCCAACTTCTGTTGTATAGCTAATCTTGACCGTGATGCTATATTTTTAATGTTGTCTTGACAAATTTAATTATTATAATTAGTAATATATATATTTAATTTTAATTGTTAAAATAATATTAATAATTTTTATATATAACTATTAATAAAATATTTATTATTATATAAATAATAACAAATAGATTTGGTTTTTGTTAAATAATAAAATATAATAATTTAAATTTTACAAATAAAATATATAATAGTTATTTTATTGTTATTTTATTAATATATTAATATTAATATTATAATAAATAATAACTATATATTACAATATTTTTTTATTGTTTATATCTTTCCTTTTCTTTTTTAAGCTCCAACTGATTAGCATATTAAAGAGAACTTGTAGCTGAAAATGTAAAATCAATTGTAATATTATCTAATTCTTTGATACAATCTAAAACTATAGAAGAATAGTCAGAATCTTCTTTATTAGAATCTGCTATCAAATATTCAATATGTATTTCAAGGCTTTTTGCTATGAAAGTTTTTAAAGCTTTTATTTTGAATTGACAATCTTGAAACATATCATAATCAAGTATATTGATATGTTTTTTAAGAGGCTTTTTCCAAACAGTTCCAGAAATAAAAACTTCAATATCATAATCAGATGGATTTCTATAATTTAATTAAAAATATTTAGTATTAAATATAATTAAAATTAATAAAAAACAATTTTTATATACCTTTTTTTTCTAATTAATTGATTTGCCAATTTAGAAATTTTATCATTATAAGTACTATGAAAATTTTCAAATGATTGTTATACTTTAGTGGATATATCATTCTAATTTGGATATGTATTAACCATATTAGGAATAGTATTTTTAATTAATATAGTTCATGTTCGTTTAGTTGGCATTCAAGTTCGTAAAAATAAAACTCATGTTTGTTTAAAAAGTATTTTTGCTAATTAGATGTATCAGATGAAGGAATCTATTGAACAAAATTTTTAATTATTAAATATAAGAAATTAATTATTATATATAGTAATTATAATGTAAACTATATAAAATAAATAATTATATAAACAATTAGTTATAACTTACTTTGTTAAACATGCCTGTAGTGCTAAATCTTTATGTGTTTCTAGCCATTGAAGAAGTTGCATTTTATTTTAAAAAAAAAGACCATTTTGTTGTTGAGAATTAAAATTTGTATTTTGCGAATAAAGAGATATAGCTAAATATTTTTTTTAAAAAATTAAATAATTAAACAAAAAGTTTTTTTTAAAAGTATATTTAGTATTAAATAAAATAGGAATTTATAATTTAGTGCAGGGTGCACTGCAGTGCACTTCCTCAAATCTAATAATAAGATTAGTTAAGGTTAGTGTTAGAGTTAGAGTTAGAGTTTAGGTTAGAGTTAGGTAAAATTGTGTAATGATCATTTTTTGTTAGTCGCATGACAGGGTTACTCTAGTAAAATTTTGAGATACAGCTAGGGTGCACGGCAGTGCACATGCACATATTTTTAAAACCCATAAAAGTAATTTTATAAATACTTACCGTAATTATTTGATTGTCTAGGAGAAGAAATATCTTCAAATTGTGGTAAATTAATGTTGATATTTATTAAATACAATCGAAAAATGTGCTAAAAATTCTGAACTGTTGCTATGTTGATTTTGTGATTCTATTAAAAAATAATTATTTTGTTGATATTCATTTTGCTGATTTCTTTGAAATTTATTTTGTTAATTTCTTTGAAATTTATTTTGTTGTTTTTGTTGATATTTATTTGGTTGATATTGTGATTCTATAAAAGAAAAATTATTATGTCGATATTCATTTTGCTTAGTTTTTTGAGATTTATTTTGATAAAATTTATTTCGTTAAAATTTATTTTGTAAATTTCCTTGATATTCATTTTGTTGAAAATTATTTTGAGATGAATATTCTTTAGAAGTTGAGCAATTTTGTTGATATTCAAAATAGTCATTAGATTCAATTGATTGAGCTTTTGAAATATTAGATCTCTCATCTTTATTTGATTGTCCGAAGCGAAGCGTAGGACTCATACTTCTACATTAAGTGATAATTACCTTTTTGATATAACCAAAATTACCTTTTTGATATATTTATAATAAAAATATTAAAAACATAATTGTGGCATTTTCCGTCTGAGACGCCAAAGTAAACCTTATTTTGCCTTCTAATAAACGTTATAGAGGCGTATCTTGCAATCAAAATGGCGGTTAAAACGTTAAAATCAGCCCAGTAGATCGCGAGATATAAGCATTTTTGTCTTCGATTATATGTTTTTTTCTTTATAAATAAAGAAG